GGTGCCCCGCGCGCCTGCTCCTGCCTATCGCGGCCGCGCAGCGTCTGAGGGGGCAGCCCCGCGCCCCTGGGCATGAGCTGGGCAGCCCCGCGCCCCTGGGTGGCGAAACGCAGGACGCGTGTGGGGCTAAAGAGCGGCCAGTAGCGCGGTCCCAGCTGTGACTCAGACTGGCCGAGCGCAGCTGGGGGAGGGGAGCGATCGCGCCTGCTGCAGCTGGACCGTGGCATTCGCACAGGAACGAAAAGTTTCGGAGAGCAGCAGCGGGTCGCTCTGCTTTTGGCTCTTGCTAACTATGCCGTGTCCTCCTTCTGTTCAGCTTATAGTTGGGTTTTTTTCCCAAAGGACCTTCTCAGGAAATAAGCTGCATCATTGACTGCTTTTCTTCTTTGGTTGTATTCATAAACTTACTTTTCTGTGCCTTTGTAGTAGTCGCTTTTGCCTCAGTAAGTCTACAACATCTAGTTTGGTTTTTCTGTTTAGGAAATTGCTTTGTGATGATCGTATTTGAAAGCCCAGAGATGAATTCTTTAAGTATGAACCAAATGCAACGTATTATGTGCCACGTTTCATTCCATCAGTAGATTAGATTCCTAATAGTTCAAGACAAATGTGGCTACTCCTGCCATGTTGCTCTTATACAATATTCCCTTTTCTCTAGTCCATGACAGGGGATGGATCATCTGCTTATTCCCTCTGGGGTATCTGACATTGGCCGCTGGTCAGAAAGCAGCATACTGGGCTAGATGGACCTTTGGTCTTATGTTCTTATATTATCATGTAGTCCAATTGCTCTTGAAATTTAACTGAAAAGTTGGCTAGTAATCTTACAAATTAACTCTACATATCATTTTTCATTTTCTAAACATTACTTAACAGTAATGTTAAAGGCTTCTGTGTTTAAAGGCTGGGACAAGAGTTGGGTAAAGAGACTAAAGGTACAGATGTGATTTGTAGAAATTAGGCAGAGATGTGAATGTGGAGACTATATTAAAAAACGTGAACCACTGCTTCATGAAAGGGCTGGAAACATTTTAGGAATGATGAAAAGGGTCCAAATCACACATTACTCTAGATCAGATAATAAATAAGTAGTGGGTATAATGTGTCCAAGTCTGATAAATTTTTAAAAGCGAGATGGTGTCACTTACACAGGGTGTATTCTGTGGTCAAAATACGGCAAATAGCAACATACAATACTTCAGAAAACTTTTAGTTAACATGTTTGTGAATTTTTCTGCTTCTGTGCTGTATTTACAATATCTTCTTTCAGAAGAAAAGGAAGTGACTAACCCTCACAGGAGGAAAAAAATATAACTGACTAAGCAAACTTCTGTCAAATTCAAAAAGTGAATAAGCTGCATAAAAATTAATTCTTATAGTTATAGTAATCATAGTAAATACAAACTTACTAACATTTACAAATATTTTTTTTCCTTTTGAATTGGAATGTGTTCTACTTGATGGTAGTTGTGAATGCATTTTCATATGTAACTTTTTGCCTTTGCCTTTTGTCCTTTTAAAAAAACTTAAAACTTTTTTTAACTAGATGTAGCAATTAGAATATCTGAAAATCTTGTTTTCCACTGTAGTTTTCCTTTTTATTAGTGGCCTATTTCATGTCTTCAAAATAAGCTTGCTGGGCTAGGTAGGTAGCATTAGTGACACCTGCAACCAAGACTAATATGTAACAGATATTCTGAGCAGCACTGAGTGGTGAGAAATAGCAGCCACAAAGTATAAATATTTTGCTAATCCTCAAATAACTTATACAATTTATTTTAAACATCAATGTTATAAGTACAATAATATTATATATAAAATCACACTATTCTGCTGAGTATACTCTGTCATGTCTTGTTGCTTAAGTGTATGTTTTGCTAGTGAGAGTATGTCGTGAAAACTGCTTATTTTAGAGAGAATATGTTTTATTCCTGATGTCATGTCCATCTTAAAATTCTATTAGTATCACTTAAAATGCATGTTAATTTTTTTAATTAGAACTCCTCAAAGTTGCTTTTCAAATGCTTTTATACAACTTGATATTTACACACACTGACTGATCCCAATACTCTCAGCATTATCCATTCAGAACAAAAACTTTTAAAGCTCATTTTTACAGTAGGTTAGGTAATCAGCCATGTTTACAATATTGCTCAGCTGTGCAAAGTTATTCAAACTTGAATTTATATCCTTGGGGCTACAAAACAGTTTTTTCAGAACCACACAATATTGATTTTAAACAAAGAGGCATTTACCTGATCCCCCATAATAGAAAACATGCAGCTGTAATAAGAGGAATTATTGTGGTGGCTGATGTTTGACTATTCTTAATCGCTTGATTTTTAGCATAGAATCATAGAATAATAGGACTGGAAGGGACCTCGAGAGGTCATCGAGTCCAGCCCCCCGCCCTCAAGGCAGGACTAAGCTCCATCTACACCATCCCTGACAGATGCTTTTCATAGAATCATAGAATAATAGGACTGGAAGGGACCTCGAGAGGTCATCGAGTCCAGCCCCCCGCCCTCAAGGCAGGATCAAGCTCCGTCTACACCATCCCTGACAGATGTCTATCTAACCTGTTCTTAAATATCTCCAGAGAGGGAGATTCCACCACCTCCCTTGGCAATTTATTCCAATATTTGACCACCCTGACAGTTAGGAATTTTTTCCTAATGTCCAATCTAAACCTCCCCTGCTGCACTTTAAGCCCATTACTCCTTGTCCTGTCCTCAGAAACCAAGAGGAACAAATTTTCTCCTTCCTCCTTGTGACACCCTTTTAGATATTTGAAAACCGCTATCATGTCCCCCCTTAATCTTCTTTTTTCCAAACTAAACAAGCCCAGTTCATGAAGCCTGGCTTCATAGGTCATGTTCTCTAAACCTTTAATCATTCTTGTCGCTCTTCTCTGTACCCTTTCCAATTTCTCCACATCTTTCTTGAAATGTGGCACCCAGAACTGGACACAGTACTCATTTGAGGCCTAACTAGTGCAGAGTAGAGCGGCAGAATGACTTCACGAGTTTTGCTTACCACACACCTGTTGATACAACCTAGAATCATATTTGCTTTTTTTGCAACAGCATCACACTGTTGACTCATATTCACCTTGTGGTCCACTATGACCCCTAGATCCCTTTCTGCCATGCTCCTTCCTAGACAGTCGCTTCCCGTCTTGTATGTATGGAACTGATTGTTCCTTCCTAAGTGGAGCACTTTGCATTTCTCTTTATTAAACCTCATCCTGTTTACCTCTGACCATTTCTCTAACTTGCTAAGGTCATTTTGAATTATGTCCCTATCCTCCAAAGAAGTCGCAACCCCACCCAGTTTGGTATCATCTGCAAACTTAATAAGCGTACTCTCTATCCCAATATCTACATCTATATCTATAGATATCTATAGATAACTTGGGCAAAAGAATACCCTTGCTCACATTGATGAGGCCATACTCATGTGCATTTCACAACTGAAAAATGTGTGTACTTTAGCCTATGGTGAGTAGCTCCCAACAATACTGCTTGTAGAATTTATGTTATAATGAATAGAATTATAGAATACAAGAACTGGAAGGGTCCTCGAGAGGTCATCAAGTCTAGTCCCCTGCCCTCACAGCAGGACCAAGCACGATATAGATCAGAGCTAGGCAAAATTCAGCCTGGGGGCCAGATCCGACCTGCAGACCACCCTTCCGGGACCCTCCAGCACATAGCTGCCGTGGTTTAAAGCTCAATCCGTGCTGTTTTCTGCTCTGCAGGCAGGAGGAGGCTTTCTGTGATCTCCCCACTCCCAGCCCAATCCTCAGCAGCCAATAGGAGCTAAAAGATTGGCTTGGGGATTGGGGGCAATGCAAGTCTCTTCCCACTCTTAGCCATGTGGAGGGCACAGCCTGCAGTTTCAAGTGGTCTGGGGCTGCAGCAGTCAGGGAGTCCAGCTTGCCTTGCGGTTGCTGTAGGGCTGCTGGCCAGGAGACACTTAGGTGGTAAGCACCTCCCATCCAGAGCCTGCCTCTGGCACCCCTAATCTCTCGCCCAGGTCACCATCCAAACCCTCTGCACCTTGCTTCAGGTCACAACTTGCCCCAAGTCACAACTCGCTTCCAGGCCCTGTACTCCCTCCAGCACCCCTTCCCCAGGCCAGAATCCTCTCCTGTACCCAAAAACCTTTCCAGACCCCTCACCCCATTCCCGTACCCCAGGTCGCCACCCAAGCACTCTGGAGTCTGCACCACCTTTTTTCCCTTCTCCCAGGTCACAATTCCCTTCCAGACTTTGCACCCCCTCCAAATGTCCCTCCCCCAAAATCCTCTCTTGCACACATACTCCTTCTCTGACCCTACACCCCAATCCCCTGACCCAGGTCACAACCCTCTCCTTCACCCATACTCCCTCTCAGACCTCACACTGTCTCCTGCACGCCATTTCCTTACCCTTTGTGCCCTTCTGCACCCAACCTCCAGCCTAGATCCTGCATCTCCTTCACAGAAGGAGGAGACCACTTCCCAAAATCTTGGAGTGCCCTCTCCCCCCACACCAAAAATTATTGCCCGCCCCTGATCTAGATCATTCCTGATAGATATTTGTCTAATCTGTTCTTACTACCTCTACTACCTCTCTAGGTAATTTATTCCAGTGTTTAACCACCCTGATGGGAGGTTTTTCCTAATGTCCAACCTAACCTCCCTTGCTTAAATTTAAGACCATTGCTTCTTGTCCTGTCATCACAGGTCAAGGAGAACAGTTTTTTCTCCCTCCTCCTTTAGGTCTGCATTTCTCAAACTGTGGGTCCCAACCCCCCCCGGGGGGTCGTGAGCAACTTAGAGGTGGGTCGTGGTATCACAAAGTTTGAGAACCCCTGCTTTAGATACTTGAAAACTGCTATTATGTCCCCTCTGTCTTCTCTTTTCGGGTATGTCTACACTTGCTCCCTAGTTCGGATTAGGGATGCAAATGGAGCATACCAAAATTGCTAATGAAGCGCGGGATTTAAATATCCCGTGCTTAATTAGCATATTCGCCGCTGGCCGCCATTTTGGATTCAGGATATCGTGAAATAAGTTGCTCCATGTAGACGTGTTATTCTGAGAGAAAACCCTTCTCTTGGAATAACTGTTATTCCTCGAGTTATGCCGAGAGAAGGGTTTTCTCTCGGAATAGTGCGTCTGCACGGGGCAACTTATTTTGCAATACTCCGAATCCAAAATGGCGGCCGGCCACGAAGATGCTAATTAAGTGCGGGATATTTAAATCCCGTGCTTCATTAGCAATTTCAGTATGCTCCATTTGCATCCCTAGTCCAAACTAGGGAGCAAGTGTAGACATACCCTTCCAAACCAAACAAACCCAATTCTTTCAGTCTTCCCTCATAGGTCATGTTTTCTAGACCTTTAATCATTTTTGAAATCATAAATAGGAAATAAGAGGTGCTGAATTAACATAAATATATGTTCAATGTTGGTTTCAAAATGAATTTGCTTATAAGAGGGTCCAAAAATAATCAAAGCCCAGTAGTGCTGTGTTGTATACAAATATATCTTTGTTAAGATAACGAGCATTGTGGATAAGGGAGAAGCGGTGGATGTCATATACCTAGACTTTAGTAAGGCATTTGATACGGTCTCGCATGATATTCTTATTGATAAACTAGGCAAATATAACTTAGATAGGGCCACGATAAGGTGGGTGCATAATTGGCTGGATAACCGTAGTCAGAGAGTGGTTGTTAACGGTTCTAAATCCTGCTGGAAAGGGATAACAAGTGAAGTTCCTCAAGGGTCTGTTTTGGGACCCATACTGTTCAATATCTTCATCAATGATGTAGATATTGGGATAGAGAGTACGCTTATTAAGTTTGCAGATGATACCAAACTGGGTGGGGTTGCGACTTCTTTGGAGGATAGGGACATAATTCAAAACGACCTTAGCAAGTTAGAGAAATGGTCAGAGGTAAACAGGATGAGGTTTAATAAAGAGAAATGCAAAGTGCTCCACTTAGGAAGGAACAATCAGTTCCATACATACAAGATGGGAAGCGACTGTCTAGGAAGGAGCATGGCAGAAAGGGATCTAGGGGTCATAGTGGACCACAAGTTGAATATGAGTCAACAGTGTGATGCTGTTGCAAAAAAAGCAAATATGATTCTAGGTTGTATCAACAGGTGTGTTGTAAGCAAAACTCGTGAAGTCATTCTGCCGCTCTACTCTGCACTAGTTAGGCCTCAGCTGGAGTACTGTGTCCAGTTCTGGGCACCACATTTCAAGAAAGATGTGGAAAAATTGGAAAGGGTAAAGAGAAGAGCGACAAGAATGATTAAAGGTCTAGAGAACATGACCTATGAAGCCAGGCTTCATGAACTGGGCTTGTTTAGTTTGGAAAAAAGAAGATTAAGGGGGGACAAAGGGGACAGAGAAGAGCGACAAGGATGATTAAAGGTTTAGAGAACATGACCTATGAAGCCAGGCTTCATGAACTGGGCTTGTTTAGTTTGGAAAAAAGAAGATTAAGGGGGGACATGATAGCGGTTTTCAAATATCTAAAAGGGTGTCACAAGGAGGAAGGCGAAAATTTGTTCCTCTTGGTTTCTGAGGACAGGACAAGGAGTAATGGGCTTAAAGTGCAGCAGGGGAGGTTTAGATTGGACATTAGGAAAAAATTCCTAACTGTTAGGGTGGTCAAATATTGGAATAAATTGCCAAGGGAGGTGGTGGAATCTCCCTCTCTGGAGATATTTAAGAACAGGTTGGTTAGACATCTGTCAGGGATGGTGTAGACGGAGCATGGTCCTGCCTTGAGGGCGGGGGGCTGGACTCGATGACCTCTTGAGGTCCCTTCCAGTCCTATTATTCTATGATTCTATGATATATTAGGACAATCCCTATGTGAAGGATTGTCTAGTTAAGAAAAGGCTCAACTACTGCATGTTATGTAAAACAGAGGGAAGACTGCAAAAACTGTGATAGAAACACATGATAACATGAAATATAGAATTCGAGAATCATAGGTCTGGAAAGTATCTCGAAAGATCATCTTGCCAAGTCCTCTGCATTCATGGCAGGACTAAGCATGCTAGACCATCCCTGACAGGTGTTTGTCTAACCTGCTCTTGAAAATTTCCAATGATGAAAATTCCACAGCCTTATTAAGCAGTTTATTCTAATGCTTAACTACCCTCACGGTTCGTAAGTTTTTCCTAATGTCCAACCTAAGCCTCACTTGTTGCAAGTTAAGCCCATTTCTTCTTGTCCTAGCCTCAGAGTTTAAGGAGAACAATTTTTCTCCCTCTTCCTTGTTACAACCTTTTATGTTCTCGAAACCAGTTGTGTCCCCTCTCAATCTTCTCTTTTCCAGACTAAACAAACACAACTTTTTCAGTTTTGCCTCATAGGATATGTTTTCTAGATCTTTGATAATTTTTGTTGCTCTGGTCTGGATGTTCTCAAATTAGTCCACATCTTTCCTGAAATGTGGCACCCAAACTGGACACAGTACTCTAATTGAGGATTAATCAATACAGAGTAGAAGAGATGAATCACTTCTCGTGTTTTGCTTACGAAACTCCTGTGTATACATCTGAGACTGATGCTCATCTTTCCCCCCCCCCAACAGCATTCCACTATTGACTCATATTTAACTTGTGGTCCACTATGATCTCCTAGGACCCTTACCACAGTACTCCTTCCTAGACTTCCCATTTTGTATGTGTGCAACTGATTGTTCTTTCCTATATAGAGTACTTTGTATTTGTCCTTGTTAAATTTCATCGTATTTAGTTCAGACCATTTCTCCAATTTGTCCAGATCATTTTGAATGTTAATCCTATCTTCCAAAGCATTTGCAACCCATCCCAGCTTGGTATCTATTTATACAACTTGCCTTGATGATTTTTTAAATTTAAAACAAGTGCCAATGTGGACTGATAGATGAAAAGCACTGATGTGTTTATTAAATACAATACTGTGACTTACCAGTGAAATTTTTATTTCAGAGCACAAAGTAATCATTGTTGGTCTGGATAATGCAGGAAAAACAACCATCCTTTACCAGTTGTAAGTACATACAATGAATTGACTGGTATAAAATATTAATGTATTTTTGAGAAATCCATGGTGCATCTTGTTCTGACTTTTCATTAACTCATTTTGTCTCCACCTCAGTTTGAGAGTAGCACACTGAATGTAGGTTATGATCATTTCATACATTAGAATGGTATTGCATAATCCTGTAATCTGACTGGTCAGTAGATATCTGATACTGGTCCACCAACAGGGTGTGAAGCTACTTACATTGACTGAGCGGTGTCATAAATATCCATGCACCATAACAAGGTATGGCTATTTGCTGGTCAGAATTCTGGATCCTAATAGCATTTATAACATGTAACCACTGTGGTGTCAGGGGGACTTCCATTATGCACAAAATTATTGAGGTGCATACATTTTGTGGAAATGTTATCTAGTGCTTTAAAGCCAGCCAGGAATGGGGCCCTGGGCGTAAGATCTACCTTAGTAAAAGCTGTTTGTGTTGAAGATTAGAGGTGGTTTTGTCAATATATCCATGGCACAGGTTTTTTTTTTTTTTTTTTTTTTTTTAAAGGCAGACCTGTATCCTGTTCAGGGTAAAGCACTCCAGTATTTTGAAAACCTGACTCAAAACCAAGATCTGTTCATGGAGTGTTTAAAGGGCTGTTGTCATCTAGGTTACATCATAAACTTATGTTTTGGATTTTGTTCAAAATAGATATGTTTTGATTTTTTTGGATGTCTTTAAATGTTTTGATTGAAACTCATAGGCCATACAATATTTGAAACCTTAGCATACATTAATTAGCACAATAGAAGCCAGAAAATGTAACTGACTATAATTGTTCAGTCGGGAAAAAAAAGCAAAAACCACACAAATTGTGAAAAGTGTAAAATCAATTTCCCTAATTCTAAAATGTGTGTAATTAGTCACACAGGTAAAGAGAGTCTCTATCTGTATCTCTATGACTTGAATATGACCTGTTAATAATATTGAGTTTTAAATATGAAATTCAACCAAAGGTATTTTGCTCTGTCATTTTCATTGTTCCCTTCTACCTTTTGCTATTTTGCCTTCTAATCCTTCTCTTCTGACTCTGACCTTATTTCATCTTGCTAACAAATGTATATTATGTTGAGATAACTTAGTACATGCTCACATAGCACTGAGCAGTAAGGATTCTTTCCGAGAATACTAGACTGTCCCTACACTTCTCCACTCTTTCTAGATTCTATTGAAATAATGTTCTAACAGTGTTTGAAGACTCAAATCTCTCTCACTATATAATAAAAAACGAAGAAGAAATTGGAAAACTTTAGACGCAGTCTGTTTTTAAGGGCACTGATCAGTTTATGGAAATAACAGAAATCATTAAGAAGTTCTTGAAAATGCTTCATTTTCCTTGAAAATGTTTTTGTGTGGGCAGTACTGCAGTAAATTTCTTGTACTTTGTTTGAATCCTGCGTTAAATACTCATGGATACTGCTTCTAATGTGTTACTTTGGTTGTCTTGGCAACAAAGTCCATCAGTTGATGTACTGAGTAGATTTAATACAGTATTTTAAAATATTCTAGTTTTTCCTCAAAAGACAAAGCAGTTGATTGCCATTGAAAAAGGATCATTTCTCAAACATTGTCTTTTTTAAATTAAGTGTTACGTGGGTTTAGGCAGAGGAAGGGAGGAGAACTGATATAATATGTTGAGATGGAGTCTTATTGTTCTTCATTATTTGTTCAGCAATCTTACTGATCAAGTGGCTTAGCCATTTTTTTTTTATTTCAGAGTTGGCGAAGAATAATCATTCTGTCATGAACTGAGTTACAGTGTGTCAAGTTTCTTTGGGGGAGGGCAAAAGGGGCAGAGAGACTTTTTTCAGCCTACCCTTATTGCAGTGGAAGCCCTTAAAACAAAAAGTTGAAAAGAAGTGCCCTCTCAGCTTTATAATGTGTCTACTGACAGTGAAGGTTTGTTCACTTGAAGTCAAAGAGTAAATCATTCATCTTCTGTTTCTTTTCTTCTTCATCCCACACTTTGTTGTATCAATTCTGTAGATGAGCCTTTCAGTCTGAGACACCTGTCAATTTTAGTTTTTTAAAAATGGGCCAGTTTTTTGGTCTAATATGCATTACCTTGCATCTCCAAAAACAGCTTTTGTCAATAGTGTATATGGAGTTTTCAATCAATCGTTCTTTTCCTTTTGTAGTTCTATGAATGAAGTGGTGCATACGTCTCCTACGATAGGCAGCAATGTAGAAGAGATAGTGGTTAATAACACACGATTTCTAATGTGGGATATTGGAGGGCAAGAGTCTCTTCGATCTTCATGGAATACTTATTATACAAACACAGAGGTAAGAGTTTATTGCCTTTTGGAATATATGCTCTTGTAGGGAATTAAAATAACATCTTTATTAATAATCCAACAGAGAATTTGGTTAACTAGCATTTATATATTACTCCATTTCAAATATTATTATAGCACTTGTAGACTTCTGGATGCTTGAATTTCAATTTGTGTCATCAGTGGGCTGTTACAGTTATTACCTACATATCCTGAAAGCTACATATTTAGTACATACATAAAAACATATATAATTAGAAAAATTCATAAATTAACCATCAAAGAAGTAAGAACTTTTCCACATAATGCACTCCTTTAAAAAATGAGACTGAAACGTATGTGAAAATTCTTCTTATGCATGTCAGAGACAACCTTAATCAGGCACAAAACCTATGCTTAACTCTTCCAACACATATATCAACAATATTCATGCATCTTTAACTAAGAAAGTACATATCTGGTGATATCAGAAATCCTGTATAGTTTTGCTGCAGTGTCAAGGTTGTCAGTTCCTCCCAACATGTTTTCCTTCCGCATTCAATGTTCTGTACTCTGCCCTTGGACTAAATAATGAAGAGAATTAGATTCTGAAAAAATGATTTAATCATCTTAAAAACTATATACATTGAACCTCTCTAGTTTGGCAAAGTCTGTGGTCTGGCATGATTTTAATTGGCCAAATATCCACTTATCATGGATGTGGTCAAGTTTCCTGCAGTCCCATAAAGTTTGTTTATACCCACTATTCCTGGCTCTCAGAGTTCTGTGCTGTTGTTTAGCTCTAATTTATCCCTAAATGTCTTCTAAGAGCCCAGTATGCAGTGGAAGTATTGGTAGTGCTGCTAGACAATATAGACTTCCTGAGGCAAATTCAGGGCCTGAGGGTGCCAGACTAGAGACGTGATTTAGATGTGTTGGTAACTCTAGGTTTCCTGTCTTCCTATTGCATGCTTTTATTTGACATGGGGGTTGTGGAGTACAGTATATATGTTTGAACGTAGCACATGCCATCCACTTTCCTTTTTTAAAATAATTGCTAGCCTTTCGTTACATGTTTTAACCTACAAAGTAGCAGGACAAGTGGGTGAAGGGATATGGTGGTGATTTAGATGTGTTGGTAACTCTAGGTTTCCTGTCTTCCTATTGCATGCTTTTATTTGACATGGGGGTTGTGGAGTACAGTATATATGTTTGAACGTAGCACATGCCATCCACTTTCCTTTTTTAAAATAATTGCTAGCCTTTCGTTACATGTTTTAACCTACAAAGTAGCAGGACAAGTGGGTGAAGGGATATGGTGAGTTAGTTATACTATTTTTTGTAAGAATATATTATATTGAAGTCAATGGGAATTGGGTGCCTCTGTGCTACTGAAAATCTCCTAAAATTGTAGTTTATTTAAGGATGAATTCCTGACCTCACTGAAGCTGTTGGGGTTACAATTTCACTCTAAATGCCTACAAAAATATGAAATAATTGTTCAGGTAAAATGGGTAAAAGTGAAATCCAAAGCCATAATAACAAAGCCTATCAACTGTAGAAAAAGACAATGTAAAGTGGATTTTAAAATAATCAGGAATTTAGCGTGCCAAATTTATTTGTATACCAACTTAAACAGAAATTGCAAATATTATATTATATGAATTATCAATAACCCAGTGATTTCTGGGCAGAACTGTGATATTCATATGAGGGAGGAAGTTAATTCTTTGCTATGATCCAGGGTGTAATTTAATAAACATGTTTAAGAGTATACACACTATATATTTATTTACTGATCATTTTTATGTTTTACAGTTTGTCATTGTTGTTGTGGACAGCACAGACAGAGAGAGAATTTCTGTAACTAAAGAAGAACTTTATAAAATGTTAGCACATGAGGTGAGTTGTCTTTTTTTTTTACAAATTTTAAACTTCTAAATATTCACTAGTCTTTCACAAATGAATAGCATGTAAATGTATTATTTACCTTACGTGACTGGCTGTGTATAAATATATTTACAAAAAGCAGTAAGTCTGAGTCTTCTCTTTTCTCTCATTTCCCTACTACAAAATAACATTTATAAAAACCTTTTTTACTAAGGCAAAGTTACAATGAAACATGAATATGTTACATAGTACGTTGATTATTCAGGATCTAGTTAATATTCAAAGAATCTAGCCAAAGTTCCTGGCTTACTTATGGAGGGAGCCCTCCTCCTCTGAAAACACTCAAAAGAGTGGTAAGATTTTTTTTTTTAAAATACTTATCCTCTCTTTAGCCCTTCTTGTGTGTACATTGTAATACTTAATTCTTTCTGCTGACGATAAAAATAAATTAGTCATTCTGTTTGAAATGTGGATTCTCTGCCAAAGCACTAAGTTTCTCTAGGAAGCTGGTATTTTGTCATAGATGAATCTTTCCTGATTTCTTCCCAAAACTATTTAACTCCTGGATGCAACTGTGAGATGTGCAAGTATGTTTCCCTTTCCCTGCAGCCCCCTCTAATGGAGCACTTCCCTACTAGCAAAAATATGACAGATCTTAACTGGAGTCAGATGTATATTGTATAACGATTTTCTTTTAATGACACAAAATGAAGATGTATCTCCACTTTCCTATATAGAAACCCACTCTTGCAGATCAAGTTCTCTGTTCAAATCCTGCTTTGAACCATCTTCTTAAATTCCTGACACTGAGGCGCTTTCTCTTAATTACTTTCAATAATAATCAGGAATTTATCACTAGGAAATATGAGTGATTATTTGTTGTGGATAAGAGCTGAGATTACTCAAACTTAGTCAGCTGTTCCTTCATACTGTTGTAATTGTACTAAGAGATGCATAATAATGTAAATAGTTTTTAAAGTCATACATTTCATTGAGAAATCTAGATATAGGATGCTTTATCTAGACCCAGGATCAGCAACATTTTCAAACCAAAGAACCAAACTACATCAAAATTCAGAACAAGTAGTCAACGAAGAGCCGTATAAGAAAGTCATGCAAATGGACAGAAAATGTACAACTTAATATTTTGAAAATTGACATAATGATAATAGCAGAAATGAAACATTGTACTCACAGATTTTATTTAATGGGACTTCTGCTACTGCATCTTTTCGCACATTTATTTGACGTTTACATCATAACTGGTCAAATCAAGCTTTATGCACACATTCAGACTGTCTTCTGTCAATCTTATGCCCGGTGGCTGGGGATGCGGGAGTGCAGGAGTCTAGGTTGGGGTGTATGAGGAGCTTAGGGCACAAGGCTGGGATGTGTGGGGGTGCAGGAGTGTTACGGCAGGGGACTCAGGATGTGGGAGTGCAGGAGTTTGGAGATGTGAGGGTATGAAGGGCTCAGGGCAGGGGGTTCAGGTGTATGATGGACTCAGGGTTCGGGATTGTGGGGAGTGCAGGAGTTTTATGATAGTGTGGCCAGATAGGTAGGGTCTGGGATCCAATTGGGGACTTGTTGGCCGAGCTTCATGTTTAAATAAAGTAAAATATTATGTCTAACACAAAAGATTTCAACATTGTCTTTATTTATGGCAGGGGTTGGGAACCTATTTTGGATGCCAACTATCCCACAGAGAATTCAGTCGGGAACAACACAAGTGAGAAGCAAAAAACCAAAAAAAACCCACCCTTCAAAAACCTCTAACGCTCACCAGTGTGGCCCCCAAATGAGTCACTTCACTTCCCTGGCACTCCAGTTCTATGGGAGTGGGAGAGCAGGGAGGATTGAGGTTCAAATTAACTTTTCTGGGATTTCCAGGGTTAGGGGATTTTGGAAGACTCCCCTGGGATCTGGGGTGAGGCCAAAAGTGAGGGGTCCAGTGTGTGGAACAGAACAGCCAATGAGTGGGATAAGGATTAGGGTGCAGGAGCAGGGGGCTGGTGGGTTTTTGGCCATGGGGGGAGGTGGAAAGAGGAGACTGGGGATGCAAGGTCTTTGGCTTTTTTTCTACCCTCGTTGGGGAGGGTCTGAGGCTCTTCCTCTCCCCCCTCCCTCCGTCCCACCCCAGGCCTCGCCCCAGAATGAGAATGAATATTGAAGCCCAAAAAAGACAATTAAATAATGTATATGTGATAATTGACTAATGGAGAACACAGTGTATATATCTCTACAGTGAAACCACAGAAGAAAGCTTTGGTAAAGAAGACAGATTAGACTGATTATAGTATTTGAGTGAGAATACCACAAATGATTCAGATGCATCTTGCAAACCAGCTTTTTCTTTTTAGATCATGGAAAATACCCATGTTGAAGTGGAGATCTCAAGTATAAATAAGTAATGCTTTTATAAGAAAGATATTGTAGTTAATATTTTAGTTAGCACCGTATATACTCAAACATAAGCCCATTTGTTCATAAGTTGACACCCCCCCTCGCAGGTTACAGAAAAAAAGTTTAAAAAGTCGATGACCCATTTACAAGCCTACTCTGTATCGGCAGTTTACAAACTTCTGGTCCCAGCACATCATCATAAGCCCCTGGCACATGGGGACATTTTGTTTACTTTAAATATCTGCCTGCTCCCAGAATCTGTGATTTGCTGTTTCTGGCCAACAGAAGTGTTGGGAAGTGGCAACCAGCATATCCCTCAGCCTGTGCTGCTTCCCACACTTCCCATTGCCTGGGAACAGCGAACAGCTGCCAATGGGAGCTATGAGACTCCATGTGTGCAGCCAGCACATCTCCCAGACTCTGCAAGCAAGCAAATCTCCCAGTATGCCAGTGGTTTTCGCTAACAGGCTGAGAGCTAAAGTTTGCTGACCCCATTGTAATCTCAGTTCAGGACTTGCTTCTTTTAAAAAAAAATATGCCACGATTTTATTTTTATTTAAATTGTGTCCTTGTGAAATTTGACCCTCCCATTTCACAAAATGCTGGACCTTACAAGACAATCCAAAAAATACAATGAATGGTAGTACTATAGCACTGGTGTCAGTCTGCTACTGAGTAATTTGATCTCTTCACGCATGTTGACCACTGGACCTTGTCAGTCTCTAGGCAATCTGAAAATAAAATGTGCAGAATTGGTAAAATCTTTAATAAAATTTAAATAGCCTGTTATCACCTCAGACATGCCAATCTGCATGGCTTTCTTTGAAATAAAAATGAAAATTATAATTTGACAGTGATAAAGCCTGTGATATTCCTCTAAAGTTCTACAAAATCTATAAATTATTTTCTAAGGTTTTCATATTAGAAGTTAAAATGAACAACGAAATCAAAAGAAAACAGTCTGCTTACGATACCACATTTAAACTTAAAATTGTTGAATATGCAGAAGGAACAATTTGTGCTGCTGCTCGTGAATTCTGCATCCATGAGAGGCAGGTAACAGAATGGCAAAAAAAATAAAGCAAACCTAAAAGACATGCCAAGAAGCAAGGAAAAAATGTCCAACAAGGTGCACTTCATTTCCTGGGCTGGAGAAAAATCTCAATGATTGGGTTGTTGAATGCTGACAAAATGGGTACCTTATCACTAGAACTGGAATTGGTCTGCATGCTTGCAAATGTCAAAAGACAACAAATACACATCAGAAAAGCCATCCATGTTTGTTGCATCAGTCGGTTGGTATACTTGCTTCATGAACTATCTAGTCTCTGTCTTCTGCAGCAAACAAAGCATGAAAGCTGACGAGATCTTGAAGAAAAAATTGAATCTTTCCCAAAGGTTTATTGTAAAACATCGAAAGGAATATGCATTTAAGATGTCACAAATATGAAATATGGATGAAACACCGATGACAATTGATCTCCCAAGCAACAGAACAGTAACGGGTGTTGGTGAAAAAGCAGTTTTAATTAAAACCACTGCCCATGAAAAAATGCATTTTACAGCGGTTTTATCGTGTTTGGCCATTGAATCAAAGCTCCGCCATATTATTATTTTCAAAAGAAAAACCTTGCCTAAAAGCCTGAAATTTCACCTGCGCGCATGTGAAAAAGTATAGCTCGATGGATGAATGTAGGACTACTGAATGGCTAGAAAAAGTGTGGACTAAGAGACCAGGAACACGTCTCAAGAAAGCTTCTATGCTTGTTTGGGATGTATTCAGGGTGCACAGGACAGATGAAGTAAAACATATGACCAAAAAAATGAAAACTACATTGATTGTAATACCTGGAGGCTTAACTTTTGTTCTACAACTGCTTGATGTCTGCCTAAACAAACCCTTTAAGAGCTTCAGAGGGGTAGCCAGGTTAGTCTGTAACTGGAAAAACTTAAACGACTAGTATAGCAACACCTTAAAGACTAACAAAACATGTAGATGGTATCATGAGCTTTCATAGGCACAACCCACTTCTTCAGATGAATGGATTTAATAAATGTCCAGTTCCAAAATAAATAAAATAAATTTTGGAACTGGACCTTTATTAACTCAATTCATCTGAAGAAGTGGGTTGTGCCTATGAAAGCTCATGATACCATCTACTTTTCTGGTTATTCTTTAAGGTGCTGCTATACTATTTGTTGTTTTTTAAATTAAACCCTTTAAGAACAAGCTATATAAAATGTGGTGTGACTGGATATGCTCAGTATGACAAAGTTGACAAAAGGTAGGAATCTTATGAAGCCAAAAATCAATCTGGTTGCCTACTGGGTCAAGGATGCATGAGAGTCTATTAGAAAATGCTGTACCATCAACGGACATGAGGGGTCAGAAGACAGAACCATATTTGCTGATGACACAGTGAAGGCTGATAAGGAATCTTGAGTCCGAGGACAACACTGCTGATGTCTATGATGACAATGCAGGAACAGCTATGACTGAAGCTGAATTTAATGAACTGTTTGGTGAATTGGAGACTGATTTTAAAGTCTGAAAAATCCTTCAAACTCTGAAAAAGTTCATTAGAATGATATGAGACATTAAAACATGG